TTGAAGAATTAAACCTTATTCTTTAGAAAAAAGAAATTAGAGGCAAGGTTTGACCTTTAAATCCAAAACATATTTATCTATTTCAATGTACATTTATCAATTTCAATGTTAATTGACCTTAACACTTACACCTAGCAGTTATTTACTGATAAAAAATAAAATAAAATCAAAGCGAAGAACAATTACTAGCTGTGGTAAAATTTTGATCAATTGATACAATTCCTATCAAATAAGCTAATGAAATGATAGGTAAAACAAGCATGCTTTAGATGTAATCAGCTGATGATATAAAATGATATTAAATGTATTACGTTCAATTATTAATATCCTTTACCGTATTATTATTATTTTAGATAAGTAGTTAGCAACTTAAACTTGTATTTTAAACAAATAGTGCTTATTTAGCTTTTTATTTTATAAATCGGAATAAGTAATAAGAAAATTTTGTTTTCTTTCTTTTTTTTTAATTTTTCTTCTAAATTGCTTAATATTTGGTTAATAATTTACTAAATTAACAAAAAAAAAAAAAAATAATGGAAAGGAAGAAGCACAATGGAAAAAATTGCTTATAAAATATTTTAAATTAGCTAAATAAAAATGCAGTGGAAAATTTTAAATTTAAAAAAAAATTTTTTTAAATCTGTTTATTAACTTATTTATTTATATATTTGCTTAATTTATGTAATAATATATACCATATATTGTGAGTAATTTACATAGATTTATTGAAGTAAAGATTATTCAAAAGATAAGGATGAGGATTAGTTATCAACATATTTTATTTATTCCTACATCAATTGTCCGCGTTACACGACATGTAGATATATATATACATATATATTAAAATAACTTTGGAACCTATTATAATGTTTTCCTTCTCTAACATCTTTATTCTTTCAATATTTTATATTTATCTTTTAAGCCATCTTTACTTTCCTAAAATATATGCAAATTACTCATAATATGCAATACTTCATATATATATATATATATATATATATATAT